ATATTTCTGAAATAGAAGAAGTCTTCAGAACGTAACTGTAAATCATCATCCTACCTAACATAATATCGGAGATCCAGCCAGTGTCCGGATTTCCCTGACTGTATCCCATGCTTTTTCTGTATTTATCTTTTTACACTTAGGATGGTTAGGCTCAAGATCTAACCAAGGTCCACTTTGGATGGCTTCTCCCTCACTTCTTTTTCATCTCTAGGCTCCCCCGCCTCCCACCCACCTTATTTTTGATGCTGTTCATGGTGTCGTCTCGACCATTGGCATCTTCATGTTGGCTCCTGAGTCCTTTGGACACGACCACAGTTGTCGCTGAGGGCTTCCTTCCCTGTCCTCGGGTGCAACAGAATGTTCCCGGCTCACCTTCTGCCCTAGCAATTAGCCCTTTCCCCAAGGAGTGCTAGACACCAATGCTTTCTGGGGCTCTGCCTGAGCAATGTGCCTGTCATGGATCTGATTTTTCTCTTCTTCTCCTCAAGCTATTAAAGAGCTTCCCACCACATCAGACCTATTACTCTCATAGAGTTACAGTTTTAAAAAATTTTTATTAAATGATCATTTTATTGGTGGCTCTTATAGCTCATATAACAATCCATACATCAATTTTATCAAACATATTTGAATATATGTTGCCATCATGATTTTCTAAACATTTACTTCTATTTGAGCCCTTGGTATCAGCTCTTCTTTTTTTTCCTCCCTTCCCCTCTTGCGACCCCTTGAGAAATTATAAATTGTTATTTTCAAGTCTTAACACTGACTGCTGTCTCCCTTCCCCCAAAGTTTCTGTTGTTTGTCCCCATGCATGTGGGTATGTGTGTGTGTGTGTGTGTGTGTGTGTAGTTATGTGTCAATCATTGCTATTGGTTCCCCCTTCATCCCCTCTGCTCTCCACCTTCTCTCTACCCTCCTGATATCACTAGTCCCATTCCGGTTCCTGATTCCATGTGTCGTGAGTTCTTATCTGTACCCGTGTACACGCTCTGGTCTAGCCTGCAGTGAAAGGCAGGACTGGGGTCATGAGAATGGGGGTCGTGGTGGTGGTGGTGAGGAAGCCTCAAGGAACCAGAGGAATATTGTGTGTTTCATTGGTGCTATACTGAGCCCTGGTTGACTCATCCCTTCCTTGTGACCCTTCTGTGAGGGGATGCCCCATTATCTACAGATGGGTTTTGTGTCTCTGCCCCTCGTGTTTAGAGTTACAGTTTTTTTTATGGGTTTTTCTAGTTTTTGTTCATTGGTACACTTTAAGATTCTAAGAAATTAATTATAGAATAAATACAACATAATATTTATAAAATATCTGGGAAATATGATACCATGAATACTGGTGGTCTCTCCCATCTAATTTGTGTCCATTACCTGTGTGTCCCTCTCTTTCTAATCCCATGTCTCTCCCAACCCTCTCGGAGGCAGCATTTTCTTGACATTTTATAAGAATTATTTCCCTGCTTTTCATATTTTCCTATAAGTTTGCCACCGAAAACAAATGCGTGTTCGTTTAGTTAAGCATAATTGCTAATTATATATAAATGAGCTTATTCTGTATTTATTCGTCTCTGACTTCATTTACCTCAACAGTATGCTTCTGATCTCTACTCACATTGTTACAGGGAATGTGTAACCAAAATTCTTTGTTTTCACCGTTAAGCTTTCAGACACCTGGTCAGTTCACTGCCAGCGGCTTCCTAGATGCCAAGGCGACTCTAGCCATGCCGACTGATTCAGTTTTCCACACACGTACCTGGGTCTTCTGCATGCCTGTGCCCCGGACATCCACTGTGCCCAGTGTCTTTTTCTCTTTTCATCAAATTTGCCCATTGGATGGCCTTTCCCCAGACTCTGTTAGACCGTAAGGTCCACCCTCATTCTTACACATTCTTAACTTTTTGGAGGTTCTTATGAGAGGTATGTACTGGTCTTCACCAAAGACTCACGGTTTGCCCAACAACTTTGGGTGTGTTGGAGATCCCTTGAAGCTTATCCCAGGGCCTTGGGTGTTAGCAGTAGGTGGCACACGTCGCTTGGCCTGCGAGCTCACGGAGTACAGTAAATCCTCAGCAGTGGTCCCCAGGTTCTTGCTGGAGGTCTGACACAATAAATCTTGGAGTGAACACCTGGCTGTTATGGGTCTCTGTTTTCCATGGGGACAAGCAGCGTGGCACTGGGAACCCCAACAGGGTACAATGCTTTATGAGAACAAATCTGCCAAATGTTTGCGCCAGTCAACAAGGCAATCGAAATAACTGTTTCGTCCTTGTCTTATCATTCTCATCGGTTCTTTTTCTCTGTAGGATGAAGCTCTTACATCAGGTGTCACGCGTTTGGAAAACAGATGGGTTGACTAGCTGTTCTTATAAATTACTATCTCTGGAGCACTACCCTTTGTATGTCAACATCACAGTGGACTTCTGGACTGATCCGTGACCCAGGATCTATGGATGATGCTCCGAAGAACTGGACACTTGATCGCAATAATTTTGACCTACCGACTTCCCCAAGATCCCCCCTTTTAGAACGTGTCGCAGCGAATTGCTGGGCGGCCTTTCTCCTTTGGGCATTTTCCTAGTAGAGCTCTTGGTGATCCAGAATGTGAAATCATTGTAACAAGGCACCTTTCTTAGTTGTTCTGATCATGAAGTTTCTATATCGTAATGGAGACACTTGAAGAGCTAAATATAGAAGGACGACTCAAGGGCTATCATGAACGTTCCTTGAGCACTCTGGTGGAAGAGACGTGGTTGCTTTTTAAGTGACGCGTGGGACAACAGGTCTTAGGATAGGAAATGGGGCTGCGTGCCCCAGAGAAACTCGAATCTTCTTGTGCAAGATGGAAAGGTACAAAGATCTATTTTAGGTACTCCTGGGTCCTGCATGGCCGTCCCGAGGTCCTGGGTGAGAAGAAGACCACAGAAGACGAAAGGAGAGGTGGGGCCTCGAGCTGCAGTGAACTTGGCAATGACGAAGTGGCAGGAGGACAGTGTATCCGAGGGAGAGGCGGCTACAGTTGTGCTGGTTGTGTGACCCTCCCTAACTGCAGTGGGGTCACCCTCGCTGATCCGCCTTCCAGTGAAAACCCAGCAGAGAACACATCATCTAGTTTTTTTAAGCATTTTTATAAAATGATTTTGTATCATAGGCCATGGAGTAGTAGCACTTTACAAGCAACAAATTAACTAATACACCTCCAGTACCTCTGTAGTAAAAGATGAAACAGCCTTTAATGTGCTGGTTTGTTTCTTTACCATGGCTGGAGGGCCACAGATGTGTCTGTTTTAGTTATCCGTAAATCTCAACAGCTTGAAAACCAACAGTAACGTGTCTACGCCTTCTCTCATTAGTGCTCTTCATCTCCACAGCCCGAGGTGTCCCCTCCACCTGTGCTCAGAGCCTCCCTGTCTGGTCCTCTGGACCTCAATGTGTTTGCTTATTTGTTCTCTTGTGCCAACCCCTCTCTCTTTATTAATAATGGGTGAGGCAGGGCCAGCATCTTGGACAGATCTGGTTGGTTCTAAGACCAAGAAGGAGTGGTACTGGACCCTTTAGAGACCCAGGGCAGAGAATCAAACTTTTGGGAAGAAGATGGAGCCATGACACTGACATGGACATGACTTGGGGGTGGGGGGGATGGCAGAGGAGTCAGTAGGACTCATTTGAGCTTCCTGAGGAGGTAGAGGGGAGAAAAAAAATCAAAACCAGGTGATGGACGATAGCTACTGTGTCAGAACAGAGCAGATGATTTTATCTGTATAGGAAAATGGGCACACTACGACACGGGGATTTTCCCAAGCAAGTCTTCTGTACCTCTGTCCCAGAGTCTCTCAACCCAGCATGATGATGGGCCCCTCCCTGTTAAATGTCAGTGCGATCTTATTCTTCCCAAACAGAGAGGGAGTCGGAGAGGGTGAGGTTTCCAAGAACGTCTGCACCAAGTGTGAGCTACGTAGGGCAAAGGAAGGAGAATTTGAAGGGCAAATATATTTTCTATGTAGGATAAGCTGACCTAAGGCTGGCCTGGTTTTCCTTTAACTCAGGAGGGACAAGTAAAAACTCTGCCTTTTTTTTTCTTTCCCCATTTAGCAAAGAAGTAGTCCTGGCGCTCATGTTTTCCCACCAGCCCTTCGGAAGGGAATTTGCTAACAGGTCTCTTCCCTTCCTTTCTCGGTTCACTTTTGAAGAACCATTCTCTAGCATTCTGTCTCAGTTTCCTTGATTAGAAACTCACGCCGTGTGAACGGCCACCGTTGCCAGTAGCCCACAGTAGCCCTGTAGCCAGTTGCCATCAAGCTGACCGCCACACGTGGTCACCCCATGGTTTTCAGCAGCTGGTTTTGGCAAGTAAATTGCCAAGCTTTGCTTCTAAGATGCCTCTGGGGGCACTTGAACCACCAACCTTTTCATTAGCAACTGAGTGCTTAACTATGCCACCCGGGGGCTTCCAGCCTGTGCCACCAGGTTCTCTGCCAGCAGGTCTCTGGTCATGGATGGGGAGGGCCAAGGAAGGAGATGGTGTGTGTCAGGAGTTTGAGGATCTATATTTGACTAGTTGTTTCCATAATCCCTGGAAACAAACTGTGTAGAAGCTCCCTGTAATTTTGGCTATTGACAAGACATCTGCCTTTTAAAAATCTAGGCTGAACTGTGAACTTTTCTTGGGATTATCATCAACCAAGATAATGAACACATTGTATAAATGGCTCCTTACGACACTTCCTGTGGTAAATGATATTTTTATAAGACTTTCAAGCCACAGACCAGTTTACCTTCACTGTGGGATATAAAAAGACTTTTCCCCAGCTTTGTCTCCCCCAAAGATATGCCAAACATTAGAGGCTATTTGCCAGCAGCACATGGTGGGAGGTCAGATGCTTAGAGATATTTTCCCTGAAGGCATTCAGCCATCACACTACTTTCAGGCCCACTGTAGGTGGGGCTCACACCCTACTGATAAGAATAGTAATTGTTTCCATGGTGAGCCAGAGACGTGGTCAAACCTGCTCAGTGGCATCCAAAGTCAGGCTGCCATCCTGAATCTAGGATCTGCCCATCTTGTCACGTGTACTCCCAATCCCTCCCCTTCCTATTGAGTGCATACCCCTAGATTGTCCCCCTGTAATTACTGTATTACCTATAGTACAACCCTTCCTGTGACATGGGTCTTTACCTGTAATCAGGGGCTTGCATGCTCTTAAAAGATATATATGTCTTGGTTAGTAATACATCTCTCTCTCTCCTGCCCTCTTTGCCCACACTGCGCTGTGTGCGGACCTGGCTGTTGAGCTCATGGCCAACGAAGTGAGCGTGCTACCATGAAATGTGTCCTATTTCTCTATGACTTTACTATAATCTTTATGTGTCTTACCTGTACAATTGCACCTACCGAATCCACGAAGAGTTGTGGGGGGCTGGCTTCCCCCATACTGCACAGGCAGTCTAAGCCCAGTGATGGGGGCCAGAGGCCCGCTGCTGCCTGCTTGCTAGTTGCCGCCATCTTTCCTGCCCTACATA